TGTCCGGCTAATCGTCGCTGATTACGGTGATCGGGCTTTCCTCCTCTCGCCCTAAACACGTGTAAATTGCGAAAAGAAAAAACGCTCAGATAACACAGCGAAACTTTCTGCCCGGAACGCCGCGACACGATCACAGATTATTACCACCCAACTATTATAATCATACGGATGGACTATTCCTTACTCAATTGCAAACGTGTAATAACGAGCGGCCAACGTGCCGAAGAGGAATTCACCCAGGGGTGGAAAACATTACGGTGTTATTACCGCGTTTATAGCAACATAATAACAAGTGCAGCTCGAGCGGTGAGGACGACGACGACGAGCATTGCGCGCAAGGATAATGGCAAAAGTATACAAAAAGCGGACAAAACGAAGCCCAAAATAATGGACCACCGAAAGCAATTATGCAACTGGGCAGCTTCACCGTATTTTATTGGCCTTTTCGATACAACGAAATTGCATTCGAGAAGCCTGTTCGAAGCTTGACATCACACCTCTCCCGCCCCCTCATCGATAATGGTAGTTCTAGTTATGCCTAACTATTCGACAAGATCATAAATTGATGTTCGATGAACTATCAGCTGTGTTAATACGATAACTACACTGTTACCTAAATTTAGAAGCTTGATTTCACACCTCCCCTCTCTATAAATAATAAATCAAATGAATGTTATCGAAGAAGAACAAGTTGTAATTTATATTACGAATTATAATGTAGACATAATCATTAGCATAATAAATAAGGTATTTCCTTTACTCATTAAATTACACTTAAATAAATATGTGTTAGTTAAAAGTCTAATAAGAATATTCGTGTAGCAAGAAGTTAATAAACTATTTCCTAAATTCATTAAAATAAATGGTATTGAGGTACTACGTAAAGACTATCGTAAGTTAATTAGTTAAAAGAAGAATTGAAGAATACCGTGCAGCGTGAACCATTTTTCCATGACCGTCGAAAAGGTAGAATAAGCATGTAAGAATTCAGAGAGATGAAGAAAGGCGAGAGGGAATGGTAAGAACGTTCGCGTTCGTGATTCCAACCGGAAGTACGTGAATGACTCCGGCGCGCATTTAAATACACTAATCACTCGGCGTCTCGTATTGTAATGTCATGTCTTAATTTATCTACTTTCGAACACTAAAATACAAGCATTTATATTGCACGTAATTAAGCGGAGCTCGCCTCTCGTGCAGTTGCACAATCCTCCTGACAATTTAATATTGTATTTTGCTGGCCATCGAATGGCACAAACGAACCCATTGCAAAAAGTGTTTATCCTATTTATAACGCCATGTCGCCTGTAAATTATTGTTCGCTCGGTTTCTCGGTACTGCCCAACAATGCAGCTACCGGGAAATCCGCTTGTTCCGTCATTAAATCCTTCGCGTATTAATAGCGAAGACCATTAAAAAAAAATAATAACAATAATAAGAGGAATTGAAGAATCCTCGCACCTCCCATGGAAAAGCCATAAACGTAAACAAACAAAGTAGTTAATCGATGGAAATAAACAGCGGTTACAATGAGCCTCTTAAGCGAATTGTGCCTAACTGCGTTAAGGGCTTTGACCTTCGCATTCTCAAACCATGAAACTTGATGAAACTGTAATCATGAAACTTAACTGATTACGTTTATACTCTTATTTTTATTGTTATTATCTAGTCTCCGCATTTATATATAAAATTACGTCTAAGCAAAAACAACATCAGCTTAATCTGCTAAGTTGTTACGATGGAAAGGAAGGCAAAACGAAAGAAGAAGAAGAAGAGAAAAAATGAGAAGAACGGCCGTATCCAATTTCTTGTTTCCCATGGTTTCTTTTCTAAATTCGCCGGTGGAATATTATTGTTATGATTAACTTGCCTCGGGAAATGGAATAGAGCAGGGTTCCGCCGGTCGTGGGTCTTTCTCATGCCCCATCCTAGATAATTTTCATAGGCGAATCCCATTCGAAGCCTGTAATTTCCCTCTAACGAGTTACGATGATCTAGCTTTTCGGGATCGGCCAATTTTACTCTCTCTCCTTCTAACTGTTTTATCTTTCTTGTCTATCAATCCCGTTGTTTCGAAGAGAACAAGGTGTGCGTTTGTGTTTGCTTGTTTTGTTTTGTGTGTTTGTATTTTTTTTTCTCTCTTTCTCTTCTGTCTTTTTCTACTTTTCTTCGTTCTCCTTGCTGATGGGCTTATGATTAATTAACGCGCCCGACGTGCCTTAATGAGTTGGAACTAGGAATAAAAGGGTGTCTCATCACATAAATATCAGTTTCCATTGTTGGCTGCTGCTGTCCCCCCTTGGAAACCCCTCGCGCCGAAGGTGTGACGTTCGCACTCACGCACTCGATTTTACCCCCCTTTCACCCATGAAACTTCCAACAAAACAATGCCATATAGTATATATGGCATAGCACGGCATGGCATACCATACATGCGTTATGGCAGAGCAAGGGGGGATCTGCAAGCACTACAATGGCCAGAGTGAGAAACGAACAAAGTGATTGTGTGTACGCATGCATTGAGGCGGGTGCGTTTTGAGTGACATTTGAATACCGGAGAGAAACATACAGCTTCTCGCTTGCTGCTCCAAATCTTGATGCATCGCGTACGCCTCTCACGTAATGAACAATTTGCGGAAGCGCAACGGAAACCGAGCCAGTCCAGAAAGTAATCCAGTTTTCCGAGGCAAGCCTCCCCTTTCCTTCGCTTTACAGCTAAAGACGACCCATTACTGAAGAATTTGTTCCCGGGTAGTGTTACCAATTTCAGAAGAGCTGAATCAGTATCGAAATACACTCGAAAACTTGCCTGTCTCTCTCTCTCATTCTCCTCATCTGATTTACTGTATTCATCGATTCAGGCCGATACTTTGGGAAACTTCGCACATGTACACCTAGACTCGATCTGCTGAAGACCTACGTTATTCGTCAATTACGTGAAATCTGAAAGCTTTCCCGGCGGAACAAACGCTTTGATGTTTCCATTGTAATTACTGATTCCAAATACACCTATTCCATTTAATATCCCTCGATTGATTGCTCAACTCGCTTCATTCCGTGAACCTCAAAGCTCAGTGATTAGAGAAAAAATATTTATTTTGTTATTCCATGTTACATAAAGTTGTGTAATTAATTAATCGAATAATAATCAACATTTCTAATTATTAGTTCTTTATTAACTATTGTGATAAATATGAAAAATAAGGATTATTATAAATCGATAGATTAGTTTTGAAGAATATATTCTTGAGAATTCTGGATCCCATCCAGCTTAGCGTCTTAAAGCGACCGGTGCGATTTCTGCACACTCACTAAGAGATGCTAATAATAGCTTTATTAAATGTTCAACACTTGATTTACAAGGGAATAAAAAGCTGGAATCGCATTGAAACATGAGCGTCGCTAATTTGACTCATTGTGCCCCGAGAAAATCATCCACTACATATAAGCATATACATATAAGAGAAGTATATATATATATATGTACATATATATAGGTGTGTGTATATATATATATATAGCCTTCATATTTTATTCAATGCCGCAGATGTCTATGCACATTGTTACCACTGCGAGGCCGATAAGAAAGTCGTGCTTTGTTCGACTGGGAGTGATTTGTACACAACTCCTCTGCTGCTCGTTTAAGCCCCAACTTAGATTAGCTTCTGATATTCGTCCGTGTATTTTTTTCTCTCTCTCTCCTCTCCTTATTCTTCTTTCTTGGCCTTCCTTCGTTTATTTTTATTTTTGCCAGTTAAAATATCCCGAGAAACACCTAGACATATCTCACACTTAAAGTTCAAGCGCTATCTCCTACTATGCAAGTAGCTGCTATAGTGGCATTCAGCAAAAATTGAATTTACTATTAGTTACGACTTCCAACTACACGACCTCACTATCACCGACGAGCGTTGCTTCTGCGGACATCGGATTAACCCGTAACACTAATGCATCTGCTTCCAGCGGAGCGCCAAAAAAGGACGCTGCACGAATGTGATGTAATAAATTAACGTAATGGTGGTTATGACGAGGATGGAGCTACTCCTTTAAACTCTAATAATACAGGGATAAACGTGTTTGCAAATCTGCACTGCTGTAACGCTTTTACCTTTACGACGCTATCGATCAAAGAAAAATGATCATAATTTTCAGACTATAAATGACAAATGAATAAAAATGTGTAAAACAAGATGTGTTCTCTATGTATATGTGGTAGTAATTGATGAGTTTATTTAATATTAGGGAAGTACACAGAACGTAATATCGATGAGCCAATGTTAGAGTACACAGAAGTGGTCTCCAATTGTTTCCCCTGGAATTGTAATGGCAAATTGACAAGCTTGAAGCGTCGACAGAGATTCGTTTGTATCGGAGTAGAATTGATTAAATAGAAATACGTTGCGACGGAACGCCAAGTTGCGGTTAGTGGCCATTGTGTGTGTGTGTATGCCAATAGTCAATATTGGTAGAGAGTTAACAATCCCTGGGGATGTGAATCTGTCGGACTGTGCACATGCAGGATTATATTTGGGAAAGTAGGAAAATGAAGATGGGAAGATTGAAAGAGAGAAATGGATAAAGTACAATATAATGCCGTAACATTAATTACGCGAGCGAAAAGGAAAGCCGGGTTCCAATAAGCGGCGCGACGGGACAGGCGAGTTATTGGGCCCCCCATGGGCGACGACCCCTCATTTCACATCGTATATATCAGAACACCTACCACTTTAACCCACATATTCTCATTACGCTCCTCATACATCACCTGGCCGAGACGAGTATTTAAATGATCCCCGAAAGCAAAAAAAAAAATAAATGAAAAGAAAAAAAGTGTAATAATAATAAGAATAAATCGGAGCCAAATAGCGCTGAAATGGTGGCTCCTCACCTTTAGCAGCGCTAGGACCAGCTTCGGTGCAAGTGGGCTGTCGAGATTTATGCCTTCGCAGATAAAAGGGAGACCTAATGACTAATGGCCTGTGTTTGTTGTCTCTTTGCAGATTTCGCATAGATAATACCGACCACATAATCGACGTGAACAAAGGAAACGTCCAGTTCGAATACGACCAGGTCAACATCATCTGCCCGGTCTACACGCCGGGCACCTTCGACGAGGACGCCGAGAAGTACATCATCTATAACGTGTCCAAGGAGGAGTACGAGACCTGCAGGATAACTAATCCGAATCCTCGCATCATCGCCATCTGCGACAAGCCGCATAAGCTGATGTACTTCACGATCACCTTCAGACCGTTCACGCCGCAGCCCGGCGGCCTGGAGTTCCAGCCAGGAAAGGACTATTACTTCATTTGTAAGTGGAACAACCTTTGTTTACGATCGGACGCTCCTAATCAGCGATAAATTTAACGAACCAAAGGGGATGTATGACGGAGTCACATTAACAAGCCGTTGATTGTAATCAGGGGGAAAACAGTCTTTAGCGTTTTAACGGGCCCTAACGTGCGGGCAGCGAGTAAATCAGATGCCCACATGTGTTATAATTTGTAGAAAGGTAGAAAACCAAGGGGGGGAGCTTTTATTTAATTACTCCGCTGATTTTAATCGGCCCCCGAGAATAATGCCTCCCCTGTACAACACGCTTCCAGCCCCTTTCGCCCACAATTCATACGCCTTCCTACTTTCTTTTTTCTTCTCTTCTTTATTTTTTTTCCTAATCCTTGCTATTTGTTATTCCGCATTAACATTTTTCTTAAGGAAACCTACATTCAGTACACTATTTCATACCTGCCTTTTAAACTGGAACAGTCCTAATCTTGTATGCGCAAATCACACATGCACCCTACATATTCATTATTAAACCTTTTTTTTTCCCTTACCTTCACAGAATCAATATATTTTAAAACTGCTCAAATATGTATGATCCTCCAATAATCATTGTCTAACATGCTATCCCTCACACAGTATATCCAATTTTTACAACTTGACACACTTTAAAACTATATCTATATTGATTTACAACATTTTAGAATTACTTTTTTAATTATTTTAATAAACTAGAAATATTTTTATAATATTATAATCAACGGTAATAATAATAATTCTCCAAAAACATTACTATTTTAATACTTGAAATTGCATTAAGTCAAGTTGAAAATTACAAAAATTAAATCTCTATTCTAAATAAATCACAATGCTTGAAATTTCATTAAGACAAGTTTTATTTGTTTACATTTATTAAATTAATTGTTTCATTTTTTTTTAATAATTATTTATTATTAAACTGTTCATGTCTCCTTAATCGTTATTTAATATTTTTATGTAAAATTAATTATCTAGAAAAATATTATGTTATGTTGCAGCTACTTCCTCTAAGGAGGACCTCCATCGACGGATTGGTGGTCGCTGCGACACGAACAACATGAAGATCGTGTTCAAGGTGTGCTGCGCCCCGGAGACCGGGAGTAACACCACCTCTAAAGCGGGCACATCAACCACTGCCATTAATTGGCCCGTACGACCCTCAACTCGACCTACAACCACCACTACAACAACTCAGATCGCTCGAACAGAATCCACATCCACTCGTAAACCTACAAAGAAAATTGGTAAGTTTGACTTCAACCACCAGGTGCATCGTAATACTAATACTACCTTTGTTGTCTATCCACAGTCGAATACGAGAAACATCCCAACGAGGTGGTCAAGAATGAGGAGTTGACCTATTCCAAGGGAGTCTTGCTCTCGGCTGCCCCATCCAGCTTCTTCATCGTCGCTGTGTGTATAGCAGTCATTAGATGGCGGTGAGCAAGAAACAGGGGACCGCCCCAGCAATCTGCCATCCAATATGTCGACACTTATTTGTAAAATAATGTAAATTAATTTATCGACGTCCGTCTCTAAACAAGTTTCCAAGTGACATTTTTTTGTATGATTTTTCGATTGTGTTAGTGAGTGCGTTTAGCGAACTTTGGCGGTCAACCCCTATCCCCAAACCCCCCTATGTTCTCTACAACAAGAAGCAATGAAGAGGAAGAAGAAAAACAAGCAACCCCTCCCCCTTAAACAAACGCGCCCCGAATTGCCCCCAGGCCCAAACACCTCCTCAAGCAAAAGAAAAATTGAGATGAAAATATATAAATTATACTTCGTGCAACTATAGTTTATATATTGCTCATGTTACTATATTATTTAAAAAAAAAATATATAAATATATAAAAAAAAATATATTTTTATCGACGCTTTATGAATATATGCGAGGATGAAGTGGAAGAGCGTGAATATTGGAAAAGAATTTATGGAAAAGGCTGGTGTGATAAAGTATTATTTAACGATTATTGGTTTCTTGGAGGAGAATGATGATGAAGCGTTTTTTTTTTGTAATATTTTTTTTTATTTCCGCCTCGGAGGAGACAATTCCAAGTTTTATTTTTGTGTGTCTATCAAATGCATCTCTATATGCATATGCATATAAAAATATATATATTAACGTATTAATATTACGAGAGAAAATGTGAAATGATTGCGCCAGATATGTGTTTAACATATGTATATTTAATCGTATGTCTGGTCATATATAAATAAACCAAACAATGATACTAGGATATACATATACATATATATATATTATGAAGAAGGGAAGAAATTTCCTGTGGACGAATGGGGATGTTTCAAAAAGGAAAGTACTTAATCGTTTCCATCATAGTAATAGAAATCGCCGGCGGTTTCTGTTTCTGTCCAATCTATAATAGTTAGTTCCATATTGCAAGAAAGACATAATCTAGTGGATAAGACAATTTACAATATAGGTGAGTGTTTCTGGAAGTCTTAAATTGTAAGGCTCGATCAGTGTATTTATCAATTTAAAAAAAAAGAAATATATATATTTAAAACTATAAATAAAACGATGTTCTTTAGCAATTGTGTGTAATATAATAAATATATATATATACTAAAACCGAATATGTGTAATAATCTGGTATGCATGCAAATAGAAAGAATCGTTCGTGTTAATTATATATATGAAAGAAGAAAAGAGAATAACTTTTTGAAACAACCTCGCTAAGAAATTATAAAAAAAAAATATATGTAATATGGATATTAATGAATATTATAAACTATTATATAAATATTGTATGGATATATTAAAATATATATATATAATAATAATAAGATGAGGATCGCGCAAGAAGAGGTCGCGAACAAAAGAAGCCACTATTTTCGAATTTTTTGGGGCCAAAAGAGTAAAAGCATAAAACGAGAGGAGAGAAAAGAAGAATTAGCAAAAAAAACTAAAGAACGTGGAAGTATTTAAATGTCACCTCTAAATGTACTGATTCTGTGTATTTAATTCGATTGAAACCATTTGCGCGCTGCAACCAACGCCGATGACATTGCGAGCATTTACATTGTAATTTTAATTATCATTCTATCATTTTTGTTTTTGTTTTGTTTGTTTCGCGTTCTTTCTTTTTCCAGTATTATATAATATATATGTATGATAAACGTTCCCAAAAAGTAAAAATAAATATGTTGTCTAAGTGTAAACGGAGGAGGAAGACGTAATAATAGTTACGTGGACGATGGTCGCAAGTATGGGATCCGCTCTATATGTGTATTGTATGTATGTATGTTTGTATGTATGAAGATGATGATGATAATGTTGATGATGATGGATATGTATTATGACTGAGGGTCCACCCCCAATTTTGCGGATTCCCATGGACTGTGATGTCGGTCAAGTTAAGAAAAAAAAAGAAGAAGAGGAGAAAAAAACAATATTCCTGACATGTAATTGATGTTTTATGTACCATTTCATGACCCATGAATTCCCAATGTCCCCCCATGTTCCCTCCCCATGTGTAGCTTTAGATATGATGCCAGTAAGCCGACTTAAGTTTCCTTTCTATATCCTCAACTCATAGTAACTTTCACAC